CCGCCACTCCCCACCACCCAGAGGACCTGGACCACAAAGCCACACTCCACCACAGAGCACCACAGGCTGCCAGGAGCCCCTGATGCCACCACACCACGAGTCACAGCCTCTGAGGATTTCTACCTTCCTGGGTGGAAGGCGAACCGCAGGGACCGGCAGAGAGGCCACCCGGAGAAACAGTCGGTGGCCGTGAGGAAACCAAGCAAAGCTGCACGTTATGATGGTTTCACAGAGGTCCCAACAGCTCCCCCCGTGCACTACACAAAGGCAAATGTGGGTAGATTTAAAGATAACCGAACAGACAGGAAGGATTATAACCACAGGGACCTCAATGTCACACCAGGGCAACACAAACCCACCAAGACTAAATCGCCCAAAAAGAAAGCGCAAGAAAAGATACTGAGCAATGAATATGAAGATAAATATGACCCAAGCAAGCCTGCTGGTTCCCATTTAGAGGAGGAGTTTGCAGCAGGAAATATCCCCCCAAAGAAAGGAAAAGAGTCAAAGAAGCACGAGCGAATGGATAAGCCTGAGAAGAAGAAGAAGAAGGACAGAGCTGACAAGCTGCAGAAGCAGGCCAAGAAGGTCAAAGCTGAGAAAAAGAGCAAGCAGGACAAAGACCGTAGCAAGAAAAACAAGAAGGGGAGCAGGACTGAGAATGAGGACTTCCCCAAACCCAACAAGAAACCTTTCCTGCAGCCTCCCAGGAGATCAGTGAGCGACCTCCTGGAATATTTTGAAGGCAAAAGGCGGCTCATTGTAAGTAACTCCCTCATCTGATTGCCTAAATGAAGTCGTGTCTCCTCCTGGTAGGAATATATAGAACAGAAAGTTTATGGTGGTTTTGTAGTAGTCATTTTTGGTGCCTTTTTTTTTAAGAGGTAACATTTCTAGACCCAAACATTTCCATTTCATTTCCACCAGGGAAGGTTTTGCAGCCACGTGTTGGAAATCTTACCTGCGCTATGAACACCAGTCAGACAGAAATTAGGCTAAAACCTCTTCCCTGTTGCTTCCATGAGCCACCACAGAGCCATCAGATTATTTTATTTCCAGGGTACATGTAGGTGTCAGGCTCTCTATAGTTATGATTGACAAAATGAGGCTCCAGTGTGGATTACATCCATTCATTGCTCTGGGGGCCTTGCCAATGTTGCCACATTCTGATGCTCAGTGGGTCCTGCCAGCTGGCACACTTGCTTTATATTGGTGCTGGTGTCCTAAAACTGGAAGGAAGCCAGGTGGCTTGGCAGTGCTAGTGCATGTCTGACTGAGGCTGTGCACAAAGGAGGATGAGCAGATGCCCTGAGGTAGGGTTGTTACATTTTCTATTCTTTTCATTGGGAATTTGGCATTCAGAGCTCCTAAACATCTTCAGAGATCCCGTGCAAACTTCATTCTGTTTTGCTTCTTCCTCCTGCTGTTTTGATGAAACTGTAACACTGTGGGTAAGTTTTCAAGGCTGAGAAACTCAGCGTGGTCAGGAGTGACTTGTCCCAGGGTTTAATAGTGTTGTATGTTTTTCCAACTACTTATCTATAAAAACACTTCACCTGGGACAGGAAAGGGTTTGAGCTGCAGTACAAATGTTTTTGCTGGCAGATGGCACATCCCCTGAAAGGTACACTTGGAAAAACAGTTCTTTAAAAATATTATTGTGGGAGCTGGTTGCTTGCAATTCTCCCACTGCAAGCTCACAGTATTGTTCAATGATCAGGGTCTCAAAAATAGCTTTGATTTCTGCCTCCTCTTCCAATACAAATAGCCAAGATGCCAAGCTGAGATTTATAGAATCATAGAATGGTTTGGGTTGAAAGGGACCTTTAAAGGTCATCTAGTCCATCCTCACTACAGGGACATCTTTCACTAGATCAGGCTGCTCCTGTCCAACCTGACCTTGAATGTTTCCAGGGATGGGGCATCCACCACCTCTCTGGGCAACCTGGGCCAGTGCTTCACCACCCTCATTGTAAAACATTTCTTCCTTAGACTAGTCTAAATTTACCCTTTTTTAGTTTAAAGCCATTTCCCCCTGTCCTGTCACAACAGGCCCTGCTAAAAGACTCTCCCCATCTTTCTTATAGAGCCCCTTTAAGTATTGAAAGGATGCAATAAGGTCTCCTTGGAGCCTTCTCCATGGTAAACCACCCCAACTCCTCAGCCTGCCCTCACAGGAGAGGTGCTCCAGCCCTCTGATCATTTCTGTGGCCCTCTTCTGGACCTGCTCCAACAGGTCCGTGTCCTTCTTGTGATGACTCCAGAGCTGGACACACAGAGGGGGAGAATCACCTGCTGGTCATGGAGCTGTTGATGTAGTAGCACAGGATACAGTTGGCCTTCTGGGCTGCAAGTGCAAATTGCTGCCTCATGTCCAGCTTTCATCCACCACTGTCACCCAGGTCCTTCCCTATAGGGTTGCTCTCAATCCCTTCATCCCCCAGCCTGTATTGATACTGAGGATTGCCCCTACTCAGGTGCAGAACCTTGTTTTTTGGTCTTTTTGAACCTTGAAAGGTTCACACAAGTCCTCAAGTTTATCCAGGTTCTTCTGGATGCCCTCCTGCCCTCAGGCATGTCAACTGCACCACTTGGCTTGGTGTCATCTGCAAACTGGCTGAGGGTGCACTCAATCCCACTGTCAGTGTTGCTGATGAAGATATTAAACAGCACTGGTCCCAGTACAGACCTCTGAGGGACACCACTTGTCACCAGTCTCCATCTGGACACTGAGCTGTTGACCACCACACTCTGGATGTGACCATCCATCCATCAAATCCGTGTCTCTCCCATATGGAGAGAAGAATGTTGTGGGGCACCATACCAAAGGCCTTACAGAAGTCCAGACAGAAGACCTCCAGAGCTTTCCCCTTGCCCACTGATGTAGTTACTCCATCCTAGAAGGTCACCACATTGGTCAGGCAGGACTTGCCCTTGGTGAAGCCCTGCTGGCTGTTCCCAGGGTCCTCCTTTCTACACTTTTTAAACATGGGTGTGATGTTTCCCTTTTTGCAGTCACCAGGGACTTCCCCTGACTGCCATGACTTTTCAGATATCATGGAGAGTGGCTTGGCAACTACACCAGCCAAAAGCCAGTTTCCCTGACCAAGAACTCCACCAAGAACTCATATCATTGACAAACTTGACTGAATTTTGCAAGTGTCTATCAGTTACTTGTTAATTAATACTTAACCAAATCAAAAGCTCAGAGAAACTGCACAGAAGTTTGAGATCTTTGAAATTCAATCACACAGCTCAACGTTGTAGCTTCCAAGAATATGTGCAGCATCCTGAGAAATGAAGCCAAATTTATTCAAAGAGATAAAAGCAGAGCTCCCAGATGCCAGGCTGCTAATTCATCACACCAACACAGTCCTGGCAACCTACAGGATGCTCTAAGATTTGAACCTTCTGATGCTAGCCCACCTCTTAGCTGGTTCTCCAAGGAAAGGGTTGCACAAGCTCAGATTGCTCTGAAGGTTTTTTTTGGAGAAACCCTGCTGCAGGAGGGGTTCAAATTTCATTTGAGGCATTTCTCTGTGATTGAAAAGCAACGTGTTAGATGTTATGGCCCAGAGAAATCAAATCCTCTTGGTGCCTGACTCTCATCCACCTTCATGCCCCAGTGCTGTAGTCATCCTTTGCATAAAGGACAATCAGATCTCACCAGCCCAGAAATGCCTCTTACATTTCAGTACCTTGATGAACTGCATTTATAATGAGTAAAAAAATTAGCCTCCAGGCCCTACAAAATTAAGAGGGCAGCCAGATTGATTGCATCTGTTACAGACTAAAGTAGAAGTTTGCAATTCTGGTGATTATTTATGACCTTAAAGCATAAAATTGTGATCCAGATTCCACACTCCTTGGTGTTTGGGGGGGATCAGTGGCAAGTGCTTGATTGGTGTTCTAATTGTTCCTTCTCCTGCTCTTCCTTCATAGCTGTGTCTTCTCAGCAAATATAGGTCACATAAGACATCAGAGTGGCTGAGAAGAAGCAAAAGTTAAATCAGCAGGTTTCAGATAAGGTCACAGTGGCTTTAGTGAGTCTTCAAGGTCTTCTTATGTGGCCATCACTTACCTAAGTCTTCATGTAGCCTGAGTTGTCCTCACCCCTTGACAGTCCACTGCCTAGACCATGGGATGAGGCCAGAGTGGCTACGATGTCCCCAGTGCTCCCACTGGGAGTGAAGAGGGGGGATACTGGATTCATGGCACCACTGAAGGCTGTAAGGGAGAGCTTGTGGGACCATCAGGACAAGGGATGATAGGAGAGCACGAGGTTTTGAGTAAAATCCACTGCCACTTCTCCCACCAGCACTGTGGAGAGGCAGTGGGGGAGCTGGTGCCACCAGCTGGCTGTGCTTCCTAAGGTTGTCCTGCTGCTGGTTGAACACCTTTGGGTTCAAATAAACACAAGAAGGCTACAGAGCTGTCAACAGCTCTCTAGAAAAGAAAGCCCAGTTTGCAGATGGTGACTAGTCCTCCTTCAATAAAATACATTCCTTATACTAAAGAAGCTCTTTTGTCTCTGCCCCCAGCTGATCACAACCCCCAAGGTGGACAACACCATGTACGTGCAGCAGCGAGACGAATACCTGGAGAGTTTCTGCAAGATGGCAACCAGGAAGATCTCAGTCATCACAATTTTTGGCACCATGAACAACAGCAGCATGAAAATTGACCACTTCCAGCTAGGTTCTTTAAGTTTTTAATCATTTCTTTCCATCTCATGGGCACCATGCATACAACAAAGGGAGAAATCTCCCCAGTTTGGGTCACAAACTAAGTGAGATCATTTGTTGTGGTCCAGTTGCACTTTCAAACCCATTCCTCCTCCTCCTCCCATGCTAACTAATCCCCTTTTGTGTTTACATAAGTGTCTCTGGTATTTTCCATTTTTAGGCTTCCAGTGCTGTAACTTGAGCACCTCCAGCTTTCTTTGTGGGAATTCATAAAGTCAGTAAAACAGGGAAACAGTGAAAAGGCAGAAAAATGTGATAAGGCATGGGACAAAAAGAGGAAATCAGGCTCAGCTCTACCAATATCCTGCATACCAACTTCACTGTCTAATGGAATGGCTGCCCTAATAAAACACCTTCCTGCCCTTGGTTGTTGTAAGACATTAGCCATGGGTGGCTAGATACTGGCTAGCACGATTTAAACCCTATTAAAGAAGCTGGTTGTTGTCATGAAGGAGAGATCTGGGGCAGAAAATCCTGACATGAACTGTTTGAAACTATATTCAAATCTAGAGAAGCTGGTTGTTGTCATGAAGGAGAGGAGATCTGGGGCAGAAAATCCTGAAGTGAACTGTTTGAGACTATATTCAAATCTAAGTCCAAGTTAGGCCAATTTTTGAAGTCAACAACATTATCTCCCCACTCTGCCATATAAGATTTTCCCAAGCCTTTGTGTTCCTCATAGAAAAAGCTTTATTTTTCAGGGGCATGCACAGGACAGAGAGAAGTGTCCTAGTTAGACCCTTCCCTGTGAGTTCCTTTCCTTCTCAGGATCAGCTTCCCAGGCTTAGGAGCTAACTTTGATATGTTCACCACGTGAGCATTCTCCTCCCCAGTAAGGGAAGCTCCAGGTGCATTTTCCCCCTCTGTATTGCTAAACAGATATTCATTTAGAAGATTTCAACCACAGCCTCCAGTCATGGACCACCTTACAAATTTGCACAGCATACTTGATATTAAAAGGTTTCCCATTTGAAGTCCTGTTACCTCTCTTTACCCATAAAGCAAGAAGCCAACAGTGTGACTATTGCTGGCTGTTTTAAGGAGCTTCATCTCCCTGAAGCCAGAGGTTTTGTGAATCAGGCTATGCAGGACTTCCAAGGTAGCTTATTTATCCATATTTAGTACAACCCTCTTGACAGAGTTCCCATATAGATGGGCATCTCTCTTAGGCAGCCTTGAAACAACTGGTGGCAGTGCCCAGCTCCAGGGGAAGCACCCACCAAAGCCAGTGAGAACTCTTCATAACAGACAGATTCCTGCCATGCCTCTGCTGCTCTCAGGAGAGGACCTAGCAGAAGACCAGGAGCCTTGTGTCCCTGAGTGACAGGGAGTCACAAATTCTCCCAGCCTGTCCATTTGTGCAGCTCCTTGACAGATCTGGAGCAGCACAGGGTTTTCCACAGCAGGCTGAGGTGATGCAAGGTCACTTTTTGTGTACCTAAATCCATCTGCTTGGCTGTTTAGGATTATATTTAGCTGCAGTCTGGTTAATAAACAGACATTCACTCTGACACAGACCATGCTCTTTCAGCCTGTTCCAAACTTCATCTACACCCAAACTTCATCCAAACCACACAAGTGTATGTAACAGCTGAATTCTCACAGGAGGAATTAACTTGTTGAAGAAAAGCAGGAGACTTAGAAGGGTGTCAGTTAAACCTTACATGCAGCAGTTAGTCTCAGCTCTTGTTGTTCTTCATGCTGATCCCAGATCCTTCATGAGATGGAGGTCAGGGACAAGTAGTGAATTGGAAAGAAGCAATTAGAATAAGTTCTTTGGCTTTTTTCTTCCTAGAAATAGTTTCCAAGTTTGAAAAGCAGGCCAGCCTTGGTGGCACTGTTTGTTTTTCCCCTGAAACATTTTCCTTTAATTTTAATTTTCTTCTTACATTATAACTTTTGAAAAAAAATCTCCTAAGGATGAAACTCTAAAGTGCTGCCTTCATGTTGCTATCTAGAGGCTTATAAAGCAGAAGACTGCCAGGGGTTAGTTGGTTAGGGCACAGCACCCATCCAATGGGGAGTTGATAATGTTGCCTTTAATTCTTTACAACAATTTAAACTGAGGTACATATAACCATGTAAAAATCATATTAATTACATCTATAGCTTGATTAGTATAACCCAATTTTAATAATTGCTGTTCTTTTTTCTGTAAGAAGTGGGTCCAAGATGTGAAACCTAAAGGTCAGGTTCTGATTCAGACATTTTCCCAAATTTTTATTTGAGAAGTTTTAGCCTATTACACAGATTGGACCTACTGCAATATCTGAACCAGATCAGTATGCTCCTTAAAGGCTAGAAATGTTTAGAAAATGATTTAAAATGCCTTATTGTATAATGACTCAAATCTTTTCTGTGGCTGTGTGCTCAGACCTGAAGAGCTAGGACTGTAATATTTAAGACACACTAAACATTTTCTGGTTTCTTGTAGTCACTAACCCACCCATGTAATTTTTTGAGACTGGCAAGGTTAACTCCAGTGTCCTGGCCAACCTCAACCTGTTCTATCTGTAATTTTCTTCCTCAAATTCTCTGTTTTATTTGGATATGGTGTTTTCCAGATCCTGTCCTAAACTGTTGAACAGTTTCTATTTTCTGTTCCATAAGTGGCTTCATTTCAGGAGCTGCTGAAATGATTATACATGTATATACATGTATAAGCACATTGAAAACACCCTAAAATATCTTTCCAGGAAAGAACAGGCAACCAAGATTTTTCAAAAGCAAGTAGATAGGTTGAATATTGAAGTTCATGTGCCCCAAGGTAAACTGATTTGCAAAAAAATATTGGGATTGAAAACTGGACAGTTAAAAGCCATAGTGCCATACTGATGGTTTTTAATATCTTGCCTATGCAGCAAGAAAAAGGCTTCTGGGAAATTAATTTCCCCCTTTCTTTCAAGGTGAAAATAAAGGGAGAGTGTTGTGTGACTGTATGACCATTTTATTTCCCCTTTGTCTCACCTTAAGATAATGAAAAGCCCATGAAAGTGATAGAGGATGAAGATCTTGTGGACCAGCAGCTCATCAGTGAGTTGAGGAAGGAGTATGGCATGACCTACAATGACTTCTTCATGGTGCTGACAGACACTGACATGAAGGTCAAGGTGAGGGTTTGAAAGAAAAGGCATTGGGAAAATATGAACAACTTGAAAAAAATCAGGAAATTACTGACTTGTGAGGCACATAAGAGACTGGTGCAGGACTTGGTCGTGGCTAGAGGACAAGAAAAGGGACAGTAAAAGAAGTTTTCAGGAATTAGGCAGCTCTTTTCATTTTCTGCAGTTAGGGGACTTCAGGAATTGTGGTTTTCTGCCAGAATGGTGAGAAGGCATCATAGGAAGAGGACCCCACATTGGCAGGGGTTACCTGACATTCTCCAACACACAGTTTGGCTGCTCAGTGAGTGGACAGCACACTGCATATGGACAATGCTCTAGCTGAATGGCCTGACAGAAGAATATCATGAGAGTTTGTTGCCTGCAGTGTCCTGGCCTTATCACATTGGGCACAGCCTGAAAATGTGGCACTTCCAAAGAGCAGTCTGGCTGCAAAACCAGTAATATCCTCCATGGTTTCTAATCCAGTTTAGCTCATCTTACCTGGGTGTAAATAGGAATACTTGAATATATATTCTACAGAGCTGTGATGCATGCAGAAAAATTGCTACTACATACAGCCTGCTATCCATCTGTTCTTTTTTCTTCACAGCAATACTATGAAGTACCAATAGCCATGAAGTCTGTGTTTGACTTGATTGACACCTTCCAGTCACGAATTAAAGACATGGAAAGGCAGAAAAAAGAGGGCATTGTCTGCAAAGAAGATAAGAAGCAATCCCTGGAGAGCTTCTTATCCAGGTATTACCTTCTGTTCGTTGCTGCTAGTTCTAATAATTATTGTCTTATTGGGAAAACATCCATCCAGCTATTTCTAGGATATTTTAATACTGATTTCTCAGTATTTAGAGTGTTGAGCAAGCACAGAGATGTAGCCATAGCTGAAAGCAGTCTGGTACAGAGCCCTGGAGGACATTACCCATGTTGATTCCTGACTGACTGCACATTCCTTCAACTCTTAACTTTCTGTGCCTCAGTTCCCCCACCATGACATGGAGAGAATAACACTGATGTGCATTAGAAGAGCAAGTAAGGATTAATTGACAGATGTTAGCTCAGTGTTTAGAATGTATGAGGCACTGGGTTTTATGCATTTCAACTATCACAATCTCACTAGTCCCATTCTAATCCCCTCCACATACTCAAACCAGTAAGTAATGCTCTGTAACTTCCTTCTCATCCTGCTTGAGATAACAGTTGGTCTTTGCCAGTATTAGTCACATGTACTGGTGCAAGTCATGCAGATTATTAAAGGTCTCTGCAAAATGTTTTGAGAAACTTTGAGATAGTTTTGTTTAGGCAATCTCTATATGCCATGCTAGTGCTCTACCTGCAAGACCTAAATTCCAGGCAGTAAATACATCTGGACTGTGAGGCTTCAGATCCTCTGAAGAGCTGTGCAGCCACAGCCCTCTCTGGTATAGGGTAATTTGGATGAAATGAGGGCTACCCCATCACTCTAGGCTTCAGCTGGTACTCCTCACCTGCTATCAGAATCCATGAGAACATAGAGCTAATGCCAGATGGCTACAAAAATAAAGGAGGCAGCATGATGGGTTGTGATTTGAGGAGGAAAGCAGCAACAGGTAAATGAACAGGTTGTTGGTTCATCAACATTTTAAAATTTGATGGCTGCTTCAACAGAAAGAGAACCTTTAACAAGATCCACTCCACCCACCTCACCACCTCCTGGTTAGGTCTCTGTGACTCCTCCTCAAGACCACCAAGAAGAACCTCAGTTTGGAAACAGCTGACTAACCCAAGAGCAAGCTTGTGTGCTGGCAAGTGACAGCCCCCAAATCCTTCTCTGCTTGGAAACAGCCCTAGTAATAAACACACATTAGAAAAACAGGCAGGAAAAATGCAGAATGTTGCATCTATAAACAGAACTGTCACTGCACAGAATGCATTTGTTGTCTGTGAAACAAGCATCAGGCTTGGGTGGGCTTCACTAGTCACATGAACTGGTCAGATTCCCAGCAAGATTGACTCCAGATTGGTCCAAGATTATCTTCCCAGCTGAAGGAGAGTCCTGGCATCATCTCCCTTGGTGTTGCTCATTGGGGACATCAGTTATAATAATGCAAAGATTGTTCTTCACCAGTAATTCACAATTCATGTGGATTAATGTCTCAGTAAGATGTAGCCCCAGGTAAGTACACCAAGTACAGGGATTGCCTGGGGCCTGGGGATGAACACCTTGAGTGGCTTGCAACCCTTTTCAGCTCTGTGTCTCTCCAAAGGAGATCTTAAATAAAAAACCCCAAACAGAAAGGAATTAAGAGTATCTCAAAGCAGTTCACAGATAGGATTCTATCCTGATTTATGCCCTAGATAAAATATAATCCAACGTTCACATTCTCAGCCACTGTTTATAGGTAGCCAGGTGCTTTTGCTACACAAAATATCACAGAGATGATTTTTTTTTCTGCATTTGGAGATCTTCACATGGTGCTGCAGAAAGACAGGCTATTAGTATTCCAGAGTAACATCTGCATCCATTTAAAAGATCATTTCCTGCTATAAAAATATCCCTGCAGCTTTGCAAATTCCTATAAATCTGATCTATTTAGATTTAGTGAAGCACCTTTATTCAAAAGAGGGGTTGTTTTGAGAGTGTTAAAACTTACTGCAGAAATTTAGAGCCATAGTTGAATTCAAAACATTATTATAGAGAGCTGGTTCCAACTCATTTAAAATATATCTGAATGAGAATATTTTTTCTGATGAAAATAATGCTTTTCAGCTTTCTGTCTTTCAGACATCTCATTTTTTAAAGGTTTCAAGTGTTAAGGAATTATCCATCTCACAGAATTATCCAGGATAGATCTTCTTGCCCCTTTCATGCCTTATATAGCCACAGGCTCACACAACCACATGCTTCCAAACAAGCTCAGACTTAAAGCCACGTTAAAGGTATTTTTAGCAAGTGTGGTGTAGAAGCAAAAGAGGCCAGTGAGTATTTACACAGAAACATGAGTTATGTCTGAAATGAAGATACACCCTAATTCTCAGACAGCCCTTGGACTGCAAAATAACTGTGCAGTTCCAGCAGTGGTGAATGATGTCAAAGCTGGATGTCTAGTGAGGAATTCCACAGGAATCTTTCTTTCTCTTGAATATACACTTCTTTAAAGTGTTTTATTTCAACTTTTGCAGTGGACTTCTTTGAAAAGAAACTGCAGAGGTTCCTTTCACAGTTTTGAAGCTGTAAAATCCAAAACAGGCTTTATTGTCTCCCAGTGATGGATAGAACTGGGGAGATCTCCCATCCAGCTGTTAGTAGAAGTCGTGAGAGGTATGACTTAGCTCAGCCTACAGAAAACCAAAGTGCTGGGAGGACTCAAGTCCTTGATGACCATGCCCTGTCCATCATGACCATGCCCTGTCACACCCTCATCTCCCTGCAGGTTCCGTTGGAGGAGGCGACTGGTGGTGATCTCTGCTCCCAGTGATGAGGACTGGGCTTATTCCCAGCAGCTTGCTGCTCTCAGTGGACAAGCCTGCAATTTTGGTGAGTCAAAAAGAAATGATACTCTTGCTCCACAAAACCACATCCTTCCTGGTGATGTGGTGGATTCCTTTGTTCAAGTCTGAACAAAAAGACAGGCCGAGGAGTCTGACAGCTGAACAGTTTGCCAGAGCTGCTCCAAATCCAAAGAGAAAAGACAGGGCTAAGCAGATATTACAGCACACCCTGCCAGCTCAGAGAGATACAAAGTGTTTGCTGGAATCATTTGTGTGAGGCAGAAAAGGTTAGCACTCTGAAGCTTCTCTTCAGACTTGTACTTCTGGAGGTAAGTTGTATTTTCTTTTTCTTACTGCATAAATGACCAACCTAAGTACAATGCAAGGACTGATCCTCTAAGACCCAGCTCAGAACTGGACCAGCTATCAAGGAGATACACAGACATCAGGTTTTTTTCTTCTCTTTCCTGCTTCATTGCCTAAACCTGTAAAAGTATTAAAGGAACCCACTTCAATAAGGACTCTCCCAGTCCCCTACCTAGGTACCTCAGCTATGTAGTGGAGAAAGATGGGCTCCTCCATGAGGCAGTTAAGAGCAAGACCTAGAAACACTCTGCTGGCTTTCCATTATGAAGCCCAGAGAGACTTATTGTCTAATTCAGTTCCTAGGAATCCAAATACCATACAGGGCCTAGGCTTGACTCCTGTGATGGAATGGAACAGGTCCCATTCAGAAGCCACCATTCCAATACAATTCAGTTGTGCCTGAAGGGAGATCTGCCCACCAGGTCAGAACCACCAGGCTTCCATTCAGAGCATCAGCATCATCTCATTTGGTCACTACCAAAGTAAACTGTGAGTTGGAGCAATGTAAAATGCTTCCTGAAGTGTGGAATGTAACCAAAGCAATTCATTCTCCCTACCCTTCGTTCTGGTCAGCTTGAAGGAGATCCACAGAGTTCCTAAAATATTTGTCCTCCATGGGTGTTTCCAAGCTGTAAAAACAGTGACATCAAAGATTTGGAAGATTTCACAGACTCATGTTACACAAACAGTTTCTCCAGCCCCTCAGGTCTTTCCTCAAAGCAGTGGCAGTAGCCCAAGGCTCTGCCAGAACCAATGAAAGATGTGAATTGAATGCCTGTCATAAGCCATCCCCTGCAGTCATTTGGAGTTCCACTGTCCTTGGTTATGTTGCCTTTAAATATTTCGCTGCTACGTGTGTGCCAAGAGCTTTCCTAGTGGACCAAACAGCACAGAAACATTCTGAATTTGGGGAATGGCCCCTGCAATTTACTGTTTGTATCCCTCAGCTACAGAACCATACCAAATGCTTTTGTCTTTGGGACACTAGCAACAATTTTTCTGCCACTCAACACCCTAGCTTGTCCCCAAGTTTGGGACAAGTGATGGGACTGGCAGAGACTCCACAAAAATCATTAACTGCTTCTCCTAGAGGGCTGGCTGAAATTGAGCCCTAATTTAGCCTGCACAGACCTGGTTGATTAAAGTGAATCAAGAATGAGCAGAAAGGTCTGATCTGACCCAAAACCTCCCTCATTTCCTCCACAGGTCTGCGCCATATAACTATCCTCAAACTGCTAGGACTTGGAGAAGATATTGGAGGGGTCTTAGAGTTGTATCCAATCAATGGTAAGTGACTGTTTCCAGTTTCTTCAGTCCTACCCATTAAGGGCAATGTACATACATATCTAGGTGTCCACTTATCCTAGTTGTCTTAGAGTATCTACAGACTTCACACAAGCCTGGAGATCACCAGACTTGGGCTAGAACATGTATTTTACATGTGGACATGACACCCACCACAACCCATAACCATTCCAGAGTGAGGTTATGCCATTCATGACCCAGCAAACACATCCTGCTACTGCTCACACTGTCACACTTCAATTCTTGGGATTTGACTGTGACCTTTTCTCACACACACCTTCTGCAGTCCATAGAATTCCACAGAAGCCAAAGAAGCCCATGTGTGTTGGGTGACAAAAGGATGTGTCACACTCTAGTAGCTTCAGCCTAAAGAATAAAGACAAGTTTACTAAATCTAACAAAACTGTTTAAAATACATCTTCAGTTCACAGTACAGGAGTTTCACCTCAGAACTAAGAAACTGTGAGCTTGTGAGAAGTGAACTGTTGGGCTTGCATCATGCCTCGTGTTAGTCACTCACTTACAACTCATCATCATTGCCTGCACAAAGTCTCAGTGATGGTTTCATGTCATCTCTTTCTAGGAAGCTCCACTGTAGACCGAGAAGACATCCCAGCTAATCTGGTGAAAGATATAAGAAATTATTTCCAAATCAGCCCAGAATATTTCTCCATGCTTCTCGTTGGGAAAGATGGCAACGTCAAGTCTTGGTACCCCTCTCCCATGTGGTCCATGGCCATTGTCTATGACCTGATTGACTCCATGCAGCTGCGGCGGCAGGAGATGACCATCCAGCAGTCCCTGGGCATGCAGTGCCCAGATGATGAGTATGGTGGGTATGGTTACCACAGCTATCACCAGGGCTACCAAGAAGGTTACCAAGATGACTACCGTCACCACGGCACCTACCACCACGGATATCCCTACTGAGGAGAGGACTTTGGCCTCTGACTGCCCCCTGCCTGTCTTCTCATAGCTATCCAAGCAATAGGTGGCCAGTTGCAGAAAGTCTTCCCAGGTCACCTAGATATCCATGCCACCTTCTTCCACTGTTCCATCAAGGGACTTTGGTCGTTGGCCTTCTCAAAACCACAGAAGCCTTTACAGGGAAGCAATTCAAACCAGTAGTATTGAAGCTTTAAACCATAAAGACTCCTTTCTATTTTCCAACCTTTATAAACAAAGGGCATAAGCAGGTGCTGTTTGTATTAAAACCAAACAAAAAAAACTCCCCCCAAGCCCAGCCCAAGGACACTACTGTAGGGCAGGACACAAACTGTCCAATAAATACTGCAATGTTCTTTTTAGTATGTTTTTTTTTTTCTAAGGAAAAAAGTAAGTATATTTATTGGAAAGTGAGATTGCACTGTGCTCATGAGGAGGAGCAAAGAATCACACTTCAGGACTTCCCTAGAAAATTGAAGAAAGAAGCCTGGGGCAGGCTTTTGAATTACAACAATCATAAACCCCTTTTTGAAGTACCCTGTCTAAAAAGACAGCACCCCTTCTACAGTGCATTAACATTGTAATTAGCTGCCTTCATCAATGCAAATGAGAATCTATGGCATATGTTCCAATACAATGTAAAGTACTTAACTACAAAGCTTGCTGCATGGCCATTTATTCTTTTAATTGGGGTTCCTGTTCATTTAGGTCCTGCCCACCTGACAGGTAAATCCAAGGGAATGAGAGCTAAGTGGCAACACCAACCACAGTTAGCCTTGAAGGAGACACAGAAAACTGGAAAGCATTATTTTCATCAGAAAAAAAAATTCTCATTCACATATATTTTAAATGAGTTGGAACTAGCTCTCTATAATAATGTTTTTAATTAAACTATTGCTCTGAATTTTCAATTTCCTGCTACCTCTTCTTCTCATACCCTCTCCCATGAAAACAAGGTAATCTAGACTAGATGTTTATCAAACTAATTTGGGAATAATCTGATCTACTAAAAAAAACCAGCTCTACTTCTTCCACACTTTCTGGAATTGTTTTCTTCTCTCTTCTCATGGGTGTCTTTGGGCACTGATCTGTTGCCTCAGCAGGAGAAGGGTGGGATCACTGGCAGAAACTGTATGCATGGCCATGCCTTCAACACCATTTGGGTTAAATTTCTCAAGACCCAGCAGAAAGACAGCTATGGAGAGGTCACAGGGCCCAGCCAGCTCTTCCTGAGCTTTACACACCTCTAGGGAAGGCTGCTCTCCATGCCACGAGCTCTGGTCAGCACAGGGTGCAGCTCCCAGGGGGCTGGAGCTAGGTTGGGGACAGTCCACCTTCAACAGAACCCTTTTGAGAGGACTGCTGCCTGCAGAGAGCTTCCAAGCTCACACTGACCACAGCACTTCCACAGCTGAAAGCAGTGACATTCCAAAAAAACCAGAGGAACTATAGAAAAGAATCCCCAAATGGAAAGGTTTCTAGAAGAACCTGGGAGGGGAGAGGGGTTAAGGGTGCATAGCTCAATTTTAGAACAGAAATGCTTATTGGATCAGTGTATTAAAGTCAGCTGCCTAACTTTCTTTGCTAAAAGCAGAAGCAGAGGAAAGCACATCACTTGTCTTAACACTCTGAGTTGTGCAAGTACCCAACCCAGCCTAGGCATCCAGTGGGAGTTGTATTAAAAAGACAACTCCAGACAAGTTGTCCACTTCCAAGGGAGGTTGGGATGGGCTCTTAAGCAGAACTTCACACTCAGGTATTCAGAGAATTTGAGGAAGACTCAGTATTGCTGGAGAGAGGAACATGAAGCATCCTCAGTAGCAGTTAAATTCAAATTATTTGTGCATCTGGGCTCTACATCACAGCTTAGAAAGAGCTCTCTGCCCAAAGTATTCATTAAAGACTCTGTGTCAAACTAATGCTGCTCTCCAAAAGTCTCCTCATAAATTTCTTTATTGTCATTTGAGGAGAAAAATAGTTAAGCTTTCCAATATAGAGCATTGGAAACAACCACACTGTGGAAATACTTAATCAAGTGGGATTCACATCATCTCTATGAAATGTGTAACTCTACAGAACAGCTTTCCCTGGCTAACCAAGGATTCCAGCCACTTCCTCTAGCAAAATTCAAGCACACACTAAATTTTACTCTTGCCATGGACAGTCCATCTGCCCAGAATTGCACAGTTATGCACCAAAGTTTGTGTCCAAAGTTACTGCTCATGTAAAGGCAAAGTAATGTAAAGCTGACAGTACTTTCACTCTTCTTGGAAATACCTGCTCCAGGTGGTAGCTGCTATTGAAAAAGACAATGAATTTGGGCAGTTATATATTGCAAAGCTGTATGGAATAAGAAAAAAAAAGAAAATGTCTTATTGCAACTAAGTCTTTAACAGTTTGAGCTTTTTTTTTTTGGTTGAAGTGTCATTTCCCAGAATAGGACATCATAAAGCAATGAAAACCATGTTTCTGGGATTGACATTGAAATTCCAGATGCTAACAACTACTATTCCTTTTGGAAATGGCCTCCTATAAAAGCACCATCAAATAAGCTGTAAAAAAACTTTCAACCAGAACAATCATTTCACTTTGTACAGTTATTCTTAATGTGTGCTAGAAAAAGTTAAGACTCCTAGAAAACAAAGTAAGAAATGAGAATTATAATTTTATATGACTCAGAACTTATAACTTGATAGTTGTTTGCCATGCAGAGAAACAGGTTGCCCCTTTTGATGGATCTGTAGACACTGAGCCTGAAAACAGGATGGCAGAAGGGAACAAAGGCAGGACTGTCTTCAGTCCACAGAGAAATGCATCACTGAGTCCTGCACACTGTGGTATGAGGCTTTGACACTGAACTCATTGCTTATCTCCTTTAAAAATTCTTCTGACAGTATCTTTCAACTATGAAAGATGCATTTTTGAAGGGAGGAAATGATAAACCAACATCTTTTCCACTGTTCTGAGAGAAGAGGCTTTAGGAACATACCAAGAATCTCTTATCTGCATTCCTATTCCCTTGCCCCTTTTAAAATTCTCTGAATTATTTGGAAGCTATTTTTCCTCTCACTCAAAACACAATCCAGCAGATGCCTGGCACTCTGCAGAAGGATTTCTCTCTCTCTCTCTCTCCAAAATGAATGCCAGACCTTATCAGCCTGCAGCATCCCCTGGTACTGACACCTGCACCCCCCTGCTCAGTGCCCCACTGTAGCTGCAGTGTCACTGTTTTCACTGGCCTCAGCACAAACTCTCTGCACACAGCCTCTCTAAACACAAAAAAAGACCCCATCGTGCATTCATACTGTATAACACACTTCTGTTTTATTCAAGCTTTCAAAATCAGGCCACAGAAGTTGCAAGTAAAATTCATTCTCTGCTACAAAGGCATTCCAGATTTCCATTTCCCCAGACACTGGGAGATGGGCACACAGCAGCCTCACACTGCAAATGTGAGGAGAACTAGTGGCTGAAGGCAGTTAAATTATTCTGCTCTCAGTCACATCAAGAGAAAATCATAAAGAAAGGACTCCACAGGAGTCAGTACAGAGTTACATGGTTGTAAAAACAGGAATGAAGACAGAATTAAGACCATTCCAACTCAAATCACACTCTAGAGATCTGTTTGATGGATCAACATCCCCTTACCCCAAATGACTTCATTTATTATGCATTCTCAAGTGAAAGTTTGATGAGGTTGCTTCAGAGGGACTCTTTTACTCAGCTAGGGACATGTCAATGTGAATAGCCAAAATACAATAAAACAGATCATACGCCTCATTATTGATGGGGTTATTAGTAACATCTAAAGACCTGAAAAGAAAAAACTTACTGGAGCATTTGTACATTGGAATATGCAGCAGAAACATTAATCAACACTCCTATCACTTCTGCAAGGCAGAGAACAGTTTTATCTCTGCTTTGCTAACCCAGAAATTCATTGAGGAAGTAGCAGTGACTTGGGACAGTCACCCAAAGCAGTGAAAGACAAATGGGTTAGAGTCCAGGACTGCCCTCCACAGTGCAGCATCTCACCCTGACCACTCAGTCCAGGGTCCAAGCCTCTTCATTTTTGCATCAGTCACAGATTTTCTTTCAGCAGATTCTGCACTCCTGATTTAGATGGATAAGAAGAGGGATAGGAAGAGGGAACACAACTCGCCAGGTACATGGCTTGAATGTTTTCCTCACCCACCTCTGACATCCAGCCCCAAAACTGTCTCAGTTGCTCTGTGAGGAAAAATGACCCTTCTCCAGGTTAATAAAACATTAATGTTCTCTCACTATGAGTCATGGCACTCCTCTGAGCCAGCCTCATGCTAGAGGGAATCTTCATCTGTGTCGATATCACTGCTTGGCTTGTTCAGTCTCTCAAATTCTTCTCCATCCTGTAGGAACCAGAAGCAAAAGAAAACAAGGTGAACAAAAGTTACCTTGTTATTAGTACCAAAAAAAAAAAAAGAATAAAGTTTATTTTGAAGGCATTACTTATATAAAATCAAGACTCTGTAGTTTAAGTCTCTTACCAGTGTGTTATAATCTTGCTTTAGGATATACATGCTCTTAAAAAATATCCCCTGTATCTTTAACACTTTTTAGTGACTCTTTTCATCAAGGAGGCCACTCACACAATGTTACTTCTTTTCACCACAGATGTTCCATTTTAAGTACTAAAACAGACAACACCTGGTATACCAAAAATAAACAACTTTGTGTTATTTACCACTGGTTCAAACAACCACCTAAAAAGTCACCACGTGGGAGCTGAGGGGAACAACTCTTCCAAGTTGAACGTTTCTTAGAAGGAAATGGCAACAGCACTCTCTGCTGGTGGCCCCAGAACACATCTGTGCAGGCAGGCTGAAGGTCCCCAGACATTGGCCCTTCCCCCTCAGCTGAATGAGGTATTTAAGAGCAAACCTTCCCCCCCAGGCTCTAGTTCACTGGACTACTATTCAAATGAGGACAAAAAAAACCCACTAATGGGTCTGCAGGAAATGTTTCTTAAGAAAAAAAACCCCAATGTGTTAAAGGTCTGTGTTTAAACATTACCTGTTTGTCTTTGGGTATCTTTGTTAAGGTAGAAAGAATCTCAACATCAAATCTATCAACTTCTTCATGATGTGAGCTCAACTACACAGATTTATCAATTCTACTTCATCTCTGGCCAGAGCAGGAAAAGCAATGCTTACCTAGGCTGCATGAACTGGAAAAGTGAAATATGCCAAGCAACACCCAGGCAATTCAAAAGATTTCAAGAAACCCTGAGCAGTTTTGGTGTTGAAGGATGAGTCCCATCCCATGAGAAATGAATTTTCCCAAACATTCCACAGCACAAACAGAGGTGAAGCAGAAGAGGAGCCAGAGGAGACAA